GCCTTAAAAAATCACCATATCTTTGAAACGCGCTGAGATTCGTAAGAGTTGTTAGTTTCTATAGACTAAACACTGAAGCAACGAACGTCGTAGAGAAATCTAAAAATCTTTAAATTATAGGTGATATCATTTATGTATGACCCTGTCATGAATGTCAAATGTCTTGTCTACACTATACTATCGAGCCTTGTTTCCGCCTGGGTAGGGGATAGAGTGAACCCAAGTAATATTTTCTGTAGTGGAAACACAGGGTTACCTAGCCAAGGTTGATCTGGACTGACTCGGCCTGGGCTGACTCGGCTCGGCCTGGGCTGACTCGGCCCGAGTACTGGTTTCTATAAAAAAATTAGTGAATACAACATGCACCTAGCATTATACCCTTTCCTCTACAACGTGTATAAATGCTTGATGATACTTAGCTACACCCAAGTTCCCTTTGAAAGTTTATTCAGCGCTACTGATAATTTCAAAAGAAAAGAAAACTTTCCACTTGATTACGAGCAAGTCATTGGCCAATTTGCTGATTCATTTGCACTTCTTCGAAAAGAGTTGAAACTCTGAGAATTTAAATAAGTTTTGATCTTGATTCTTAACTCTACATGGGGTTTTAAAGCCTGTTTACACGAGAGGAAAGGTATGGATCCAACTTGGTCCGAATTTACGAATTAAAGTCGATATACTGCTGCTGTTTAGCGTATTGCTTTATTACCATTTTTTATTGAATCAATCGCATTCTAAGCCACATTTTTAGTGGGTGTGGCTCAATTTTCCCCGCCACGCCCTAAACCGGGCCATTGAGTTTTCTAGCCACCCTGCGATTTTGAAGCCAGACTGCCCCTGGTTTCGAAGCTGCTTATATCTTGGCCATAGTGCTGGATCTCTCTCAGCCCGTCTCTTAATATGGTCTCTCTCGCACATCAAATCCATGGAACATGTGCATGCCCCGTCTAAGCTGTCCTTTTTTCAACGGGGCATGCACATGCTCTACCAAGGATTAATTTAAGGTGCAGTGATGACCAATTTGTGCAGTGATGAATCGAAAATGTGCAGTGATGAATTGAAAAATGTGCAGTGATGAATTACTTCACTTTTCAGTTTGAAATACTCCAAATACTACTGATTTGGATGTTTTTAGAATAAAGATAAATGAATACAAACTATTATCGAGAGTCAAATGAGATAATAGAATCAACCTATGTGTGGAACTCAACTAAAGCCAGCTTTAACAATAAAAATAATATACAGTTAATCACAAACCCACTTCATAATGTAAAAAGTGTTTTTTAAGAAAATAGAAAGAATACTTGAAAAGAAATAGATAAAGAGAATAGTGCAATAAATCCTGTTATTGCTAAGATTCCAAGGAATAAGCCGAGGTTTGTAGGGTCTTATAAAGTAATTATGTAAATTTTAAGACTGAAGTTAATCAAATGAAATAAAAGCATGTTTTGAAAAAACAGAAATGTTTTAAATGATTGCAAGAAAAAAACTGCTAGAAATATTCTGAAATATATTTTAAGCTAATCTAAAGGGCGTGGTCATAAAATTTTCTGCTCGCTCCGCTCGTAAGGATCCTTCTTCTTTCAGATAACCTAGGGGCTCCGACAACCTGGCTTTCTTATATTGCATGGCCAAAAAGACCCAATGTCACTACCACCATCAAGTGGCGGCCTGCTTCTCTTCTTTTGTTTGAAACACAATGCACCACAATAATTGGATTGAATACCATTTCTAACTTTGTTTTATAATTGGAAATGGCTTTGTAAAAATCAAACATTTTACAACATATTGGCTAGAAGCCAGTGGCGGCTCTTGCTAATGGGCATCTGGGGCAATGCCCCCTCAAAAAGATTCAAAGGAAATCTATGATATTCATATTTAATTTTAAAGATAGTCTTACTGTGGTTAATTATATAAGTTTGTATCTCTTCTTGAAAAAGCTCCTTGCTATCCCCTCTCGTCCTTAGCCTCGCTTCTGGCCCGCTTGAGCGATGATGTCATTTTACGGGCAAAGTTTTTTTTGCCCCTAGCCGACATGCGCACAAGCTAATTTTCGACCTCGAGCATTGCGAAACGCGGCCTGTGATTGGCTTATTTGGAGGAATTCGGGGCAAGAAAAATTTTGCCCATAAAATGACATCATTGCTAAACAACAACCACATCTATATATGCTTTTTCTTCTGCGCTCCATGACGATCAACATCGAACCATGAATACAGTGAAAAATTTGCAAACTCGACCTTTCTATCGATTATCGCAATATTGATGGTCTGCCCTCCCAACTGTGAAAGTCACGAGCCGCCACTGCTAGAAGCTTTTTCGTCTGACACACCTCAGAGCATAAAACGTCAGAATAAGGGTCCGAAAGAACACAAAATATAAATTAAGACAATATATTTTAAATTTGGATAAGAATTTGGTTTGGTTTGAGTATCCATAAAGCTAGCCAAGCATAGTTTTGAAAGATTAGTAGCAGTTACAGATTTTTATTATACAGAGAAACCTCATATTACATCAAGAATATGCATTATACAGTAAGGCTGTATTTTGGACAGTTTTTAGAACATTGAAATATGTAACGTGATTAGAGATCAAGTCTCTAAAAAACAGCATTTTATGAAAAGAAACAGCTAGAAACAGTTGATTTGCATTTTAAGGATCAATCAATAATTTACAAACACAGTAATTGCATTCCAATCCATTTCCCCAATTCATGAAGAAATACTATATTGATTCCATAGGGTGGAAATGAAGAAAAAATTCCCTGTTATCAGGTTTGCTACTCTGTTTTCTTTGGCCAGGTTTGATATGTTCTGGTAAGAAATTTTACATAATAAAACGTTGTTGGTCCGTCCAAAAAAGGTCCAGTAAAAACTTAGCCACACCCTTAGCCACACCCTATTTGGCCCCGAAAATCTGCGTTTTACGCTGTTTTGTGCAATGATGAAAATTCCTTGAATTAATGCCTGTGCTCTCCACTCCTGTCTATAATCTTTGATGCCACTACCTTGATATCATAATTCAGCAAAAAAGTGAAGGGGCTAAACCCCTAGCCTTACGGCTCCGGCGTGCCTTCTTTTCGGAATAGTTTGAGGTAAAAAGCCAAACCCCCTTTTCCTTTCGTGCTCTGCTGCCAAGTCTTGGCGAGCGATCTGCAGCTCAGAAAATGAAACCCGGAAGTTGATAATTAATCACATGATGGTCCTCAGAGTTCGCGTATAAACATGCCTTGGAAGTTCACAGGGCATTCCCGGAAAGGCCCAGCACAACATTGACTGGCTTTCTTCAAATATCAAGCGAATCGAACAAGCTCAAGGTATGTAAAGTGAGGTTTTCGGGGATGGGAAGACCAAGTGAGGTTTTTGATCGACATGGTTCTGATTCCTACATCCAACGGCTCGGATTCTCGGATTCGAGCAATTTGTATCTTCATATTTGGCAAAAATGTATAACAGAATTGGAACCTTCATGTTGAAATTAGTCTGTGCCAAAAATTTCAAATTGTTTTGGCCATCAGGCTGCGAATTACCCAATTTTCAAAATTTAGCTTTTCCTATACCTTTCAATGGAATTTGTTGCTGTAGTGAATTTTTTTCACTGCAGCACTAAGTTCCGGTCAACTCTAAAGAAATATCCAAATATTCGAAACAAAGTAACATGCGACCGAACAGTCCAAACAACATAAATTTTTCAGTATAAATTTATTTAAAGATGAAGATTTTAATTCTGAAGTCCATTTTCGAAAAAGATCCGTAGATAGCGAGATAGAAAATTGTTGACATCAACTTGAATCCATCAATAACCAAATTTTGTTCTATGTTTGCCTAGGTTTTGAGCATGAACGCTGTACGCAAAATGCCAACGTTTTTAGCAGTAGAGTTGAGATCCTCGGCTTAAAGTATAATAACCGTACTTAAATGTGGACAGGTAAAAGAAGCCATGTTTTCCAAAACGTTTTATAAAGTTGTATTTTTGCTCCTAGCAACAAAGATATGAAGACTACGCATGACTGCTTTTGGCATAGAGCTAGGATGTTTGTTTTTAATTGTTATTCCAAAAAAAATTCAAAGAGAATATATATAACCAAAGAACAATTCCTTCATTGCATTTTACCAAAAGTTACTACAGCCCGCCTTTAAGAAAAATAGTTGGGCTTCTAGAAAGAGGCCTAAAATAGCCCAGTGTAACAAGCCCCGAGAGCTTTTACTTAACGGAGAAAGTAGGTAAACATGACAGGGGCAGCAAAATTTGTTTTGGACTGGCAAGGGATGAGGTGTGGTTCAAAATAGGGGGCTTAAAGTCGATTTGGGACAAAAGATCTCAGTTTCAGGGGAATGATAAAATGGTGGGTCATTTGATTTTTTCACAGAGGGAACTGTCCCGATCGGGAAATTTCTCATCAGGGACAGCTTTACTGGGCTTGTACACGGGGGTGTCTAAAAGAATGGTCTTGAGAGAAAGTGAAACTATTCATAGAAGAACGTCCATCTTCTTACTAATTATTGATTTTTCAATCAAAACTAGTTAATTTTATAAAAAAATGCCCTGCTAAGTGTTTTTCTTTCTAGAACTGCTCAACTTCAACAACAACCGAGTTTCTTTTTGGAGCCTGTTTGTATGAGCAAAAATTACTCAACCTTTCAGGCCAATAGATTAGTGCAGGCCTTAGAAAAACACTTGGCCCAATCATATCCCACAAAATGTCTTGAAGGGAAGGTTTGCAGGTTCGGTATTTCAAATACTTGAAAAGTTTGCTTCTGTTTAAAATCAAACGATAAAGAAGGCGAAAATGAAACGACAACAAGCATGTTTCCATTAATGCTCCTGTCATATCGAATTTGAAAGGGACTTTTACTTTGGTAGACACGGTTTGGTTTCATTTTCGCTTATACTTGTTATTTACTGTGAATCGTGTATTCATACACCACATAGCCATTGAATAGAGAAAGAGAGTAAAAAATAAACCATTTCAAAATAATTTGACACTGTTTTGTTCTTAGGAGATGGCGATGCAGAATATTATCATGCTAGTGACTGCTAGCTTCGTGCTTGCAAGATTTGGTGTACAAGGAGATGCAAAAGTAGATCAGACACTAGGCAAAGTCAGCACCCTCTTTAAATGTGGAGATGGGGACCTCAAGCGACTCGAGGTACTGCCAGGAGGAGGATGGGATAATCTACGGAACGTCGATATGGGCAGAATAACATACTCTAACTACTCACAGTGCAAATCCACTGAAGATGGGAGATATTTCTTGCCAGATAACACATTTGTCATACCGTTGAAAGAAAGCAAGGTGCAAACATTTGCAAGTCTGTATGATCACTGGACAAACTTCTCTTCCACAGTAGCATCAACAATCAATGTGGAAGCCCACGGCTCATTCTTTTTTGGCTCGATAAGTGGCTCGTATTCACAAAGCCATCGATCAGTGAAGAAGTCTCAAGTGGAAGATAGGTCTTTCACGACCCGGGTTCAACTCCGTCATACAATCTACAAAGTGAAAGTCCAACCTGACTGCCAGCTTGACCCCGCATTCAAAAGGAGGTTAATGGAAATTGCAGCTCATATCCAGAGTAATGGCAAAAGACAAGCCGCCTACTTGGCAGACCAGCTCATTAGAGATTTTGGCACCCACGTGGTAACATCTATTGATGCTGGAGCAGTTATTGCTCGGGTGGAAAACGTCAAGACATCCTTTAAAAGTGACTATAAAGAGGATTCGAGTAAAATCAAAGCGGCAGCCAGTGCCTCTTTCTTTAACACTTTTGGTATCAGTGGTTCCTACAGCAAGTCTGTTGATCACAAGTTTATTGATCAGTATATAGGCAATGTAACGAGCAGCTACACGGAGACTTGGGGAGGGCTTCCTTTCCAAGCAAATTTCTCAGTCAATTCATGGGAAGCAGGACTGAGAAATAATTTGGTGGCTATCGACCGCTCTGGGGACCCACTGCATTTTGTCATAACATCAGCTGTTCTTCCCGAGTTACCAGAACCAACACTGTGGGACTTGGCAAATGTGGTAGAAAACGCAATCAAACAGTACTACACGCATAACCGATACTTAGGATGTATGGACCCGAGCTCACAGAATTTCATCTTTCAGGCGAATGAGGATGATGGAACATGCACGGCTAAATCAACCAACTTTACATTTGGCGGAATTTACCAGACCTGTACTGTTCAAGGCTCTCCTGGCCAGAATCCATGTGCTGGGTACTTGCAAATGAACCCCAAAACACGTGATTACAAATGTCCCAGCCACTATCAGGCAGTAAAAATCTACGGTGGAACGACTTCATCCAACTGCCACAGAAGCTGCCATGGTTCCTGGTTCTGGCGACGTTGCAGTACAGACTGTGGGCATGGTGTGTTTACGACCTATTGGTGTGTGGCTACAAAAAATATTCCCCAGTCATCTGGGTACCTGTTTGGAGGCATTTACTCAAAGTCGCTTGCAAATCCATTGACGAAATCTCAACGCTGCCCTCCAAAGTTCTACGCACAGCAGTTTGGTGCCACGATGAAGGTCTGCATAAGCGACGATTATGAATTGGCTGCCCGATACGCAGTTAGCTTTGGTGGCTTCTTTAGTTGTGGTACTGGCAATCCGTTATCTTTGGCACATAACGGTTCTTCCTCGTTGCAAGAGCTTATGACTTACAAATTAGCAGATGGACTTGGAACACTTCCGGTGAATGTGTTTGTGTACCAGCAGGGTCCTAGCAACTGGCCTAAAAACTGTCCGCATGGGTTCAGTCAACATCTCGCTGCAATTGAAAATAACTGTGAAGTCATGTACTGTGTGAAAGCAAAGGCATTCTCTGTTCAAGGACTTCCTTCCATACGAAGACCTCCTTTCTCAAGCGCTCCAGGACTCAGCAACAATACCACCGTTCCATTGGTGATTGTCAACAATGACAGAGGAAAGGTGTATTTCCAGGATATGGAGACATCTTTATGGCACATGGCAACCAAGAGGTATGAAGATATCTTTTAAATTCCCACTTAACGGTTACCATGGTTATCATTTTAATGACTTCACCCCAGACCTCCCAAAAATCCCTGATATCAATCTCACTACCTATTGCCATACAGCATAGATTCTAGATGTAGCCATTTTAAAAAAGTTCAGTCGACGAATTTCTTTGAAATTCTTGTCGCTAAATCCGCTAAATCCGTTTTGCACGCTGCTTTGCACTCTTGTCATCACATAATGAAGAAAGTAAAAATTACTTCAAGTTCCAGAATCATTCAATCAATATCTTTGGTATTCTTTAATATTAAGATCAACTAGATTCGCTACCCTGCTACCAATTATCAGAAAACTTCCAATGAAACCAGGCTATGAAGTATTTTGGCAGAGCCTTGGTATTTCTGGCCTGCTAAACATTACTTTTTTTGGCAAACACATGTCACTGTGAAGCTCAGTCTGCGAGCAGGCTACGGTATTTTCTGCAAGTTGCCCAGGAATGACCCGTATATATTCTTCTTCGAATACAAGAGGTCCCAAGTGGAGATCCACACTTTGGCAGAAGGCCGCGCCTGAGCTGTTGTCACCTCGCGTCATTTAACACATTGCATTCTTTAACAATGTTTTGCCTCGTGTTTCAATCATAATAAGAAGTTTAAACACTTTTGTCCACAGTAACATCGAGAACATAAGTGAGGTTAATGACTTCAGAAGTGCGCCCATGGCTTCAAAGTCTGATGGTATGAGCCCAGGTGTTGCTGCTGCTATCTCAGTCGTAAGCACGCTGACTCTTGCTTTGGTCGTTCTTCTTCTGTTCACCAAGTGCAAGATGAAAAGAAGCAGATCAAGAGAGCAGCTTCTTCGATCTATTGATCGTTATCAAGGGATGCCGGCTGGTGTTGCTGAAGATGCAGAGTAGCATAACATGGCTTGACTAAATTTGATAACAAAATTTTGATGAGAGGACATAACAGATTATTTGATAACATTAAACCAATCCATGTTTTTCGATTCCCTTATTTTACTTATTTAATGCAAAGTACAGTGACTGGCTTGAGCAAAGAGACCTATGCCAAAAATGGGTAGCAATTCATTTCAATTTAGGCATAAGCACACAAGATGTAGGAATTTTGCATGAAACGACAGCTTGTAAAGCTGAAATTTTGATAGCAATGTTTCCTTATGACGACAGAATTTATTTTGGCAACGGATACCGCATGGGTATTGCCCATTTTAACTTGAGTCATTCACCTTAAATTTTCTACATTGCTGTGCCTATGCAAATCACATTTTTATGAATTGCAGGAGCTTTGGGTCGGAAGTAAAAGCTTTAGTTAACTACAACGATAAATTCGTCTCTTGACTTTGCATTTTGATACTAACGTAGAAGTAGTACAAGAAAAAGATGAACAGGATAATTTAGCATTTTGATTGATAATAACAGATGCTAGTTGTGAACATAAAGGTTAATATATTACTTTTTATCATGCGAAGAATTTAGCTAGTTGGATACAACTGCGTGAAAATTTACATAGAGAAGGGATAAACCAATACCAAGCCCAATAAACATGGAAGACACATTCAATTGGGAGGAAGTAATAGTCCACCCTGGCAAAACTTAATTCGAAAACAACAGAGCAAAACGAAAGTTTGAGCTGCTACTCACATCCCCTTCTTAAAATCTCTAGCATGCATTAGAATCATTACTCTAACCCAGAAGTTGATGACACGAAGTAAACGAACAATTAATGAGAAAAGTTTTTCATTCTGAGATTCTGGACAACGAACATCTTTCTCAGAATTCAGATATTGATGTATCACTGCTTTAAGGCTATGCTATGAAGGGCAACAGTATGATATATAAAAAGTATATTAAAGCTTATAGTTACTGTATCTAATTTCCACAAATCCAGATGACTCTGAACATCGAGTATTTAATTTATCTATGCTACTGTCAACGATTTTAACGTTCCTTTGTTGATAATGTCAATAAAACATGCTTTTGTTTTGATTGCAATTTCTTTGCGGCCTTAATTGTTGTCATTTGAAGTTGATTGCCTTTTACGTTTACAATTTCTAAGAAATAACTTATAAAACTGTTATTCAACTGAGTACCATTGCATGGACGAACAAGATTTTCTCTTGCTCAAAGGCCTGGCTTCAGTATATTCTCCTCTAAGGCCTCCTCTAAAGAAAACGTAAGAAGTGTATGTATATTATTGCGACAAAAGCAACGGAAAATGAAATTGCCTGAAAATAAAAGAATCCTTACATTCAATACTAATTGGTTTTAGAAAGGTTCTGGTTCTGATTTTCTCAGATTGGTCAGACGCATTGATATACAATCAAGGGATTGAAACAAGGATGCGCACTAATGTCAATTCTATTCAGTGCACGAAGACAATTCCATGTCAATTATCAAAATTAAAATTAAACTGTTCCATTCTTGATATCTATGAATTCTATAATTCAGTATATGATTAGATACTTTTTCGGCAAGTTTCTCTTTTTTTTATTTGGGTAGTTAAAATTCTTCAATGCAAGAAATGGATCTCCAATGAAATGATCTGCTGTTGCTATGCAAGGTTGGCTTGAGTTACTGCACAGGAGCTTCGGTATCGCATTCCAAAACAGGCCTTTCCAAGAAGGAGCAAAGTGGCATAAGACTAAGTGATTTTGAACAAATGATCCACTTGTATTTACACAGATTTCCAATTTCATTATCATGGATACAATTGACGACGAAGAGGCTCGCAAACTTGCTGCCGAGTGGCTGACTTCTATAAAGGCAAGCGTTGGTTTACCTGCCTCGGTTACAACGGATTTAGGCCAGGGATCTTCACAGGCCGAGTCCAAGCAGGTGCGAGGAAATTATGATGTAAGCAACGAAAATGGCAACAATAGAGGGTCTACCAGTGCTTATCCAACCAGCACACATTATGCAGCACATAGACCAACGTTTGCATGGAATAGCTCGAGTAAAAAGCCAATTAGCAAAGATCAAAACTCCAAAGATTTAAGCTTAAAAGCAACTGGTCGTCATGAGACTGACAGGGTGAAATCCTCGGGGATGAAGAATGATTGTTCTGTGTCAAAGAAGGAAGTTTTCCCAATCATGCTAACTACAGGTCATACAGAAGATGTAACAACGAATGATCTTTTTGATCTTTGGGATTTTGATGGTGAACAAAGAGAGAAAGCTAAGAGTTACCTTCACACAGGTGTCTCAGACCCTATAGGAAATGTGAATGTTTGTATCTCAGAGAAAGAAAATATACCGGCTCATAATATCAAAACAAAAACATTGGCTGCCTCCCATGATTCAACCAATGGTGTTTACAGTGAATCTCCTGTATTCAGGTTTGATGAAGGACTTATGGCAAATGGCAGTGAAGAAGTGAAAACACAACAAAGCCAGTCAAAAGTGATAAGCCATAAGTTTAACTATAAACTTTGTACAAGTTGTGGTCAAAAGAATGAGGTTGAAGCCAATTGGTGTGACGAATGTGGGAAAGCAATTATTTCATCTACAGTAACAAATGTGCAGGATAAAGAAGCTGCAGCTGATGTGATCAGTAAAAAAAGTGGTGCTCTACCAATTAACAAAGTTCTTACATCAAAGTTGAATCCAAATTGTGCAGAATTTGTTTCAGCTTATTCTAATAGGAATAAAACAATACCATTTTCACCGATTTCAAGCCGTTCTGGTGAGTTTTCTAATGGAAATCTGCCAAGATCAGCACCTCTTGAAAGTTTTCTGATGAACTCCCATGATCGAAAGCAAAAAGCAAAACCTCTTTCTATAAAACAACAAAAGTTTTCAAATACTTATGGACAAGAATGCAAGCAATCTAGGCCTTCAAGCTTTACTGATGGCTATAAGTATGGACCAAAGAAAAATAGAAACTCAGCGGATTTAGAAAAAAGGAGGTATAATAGAGAAAGAGGCTCTTCTTTCAACAGTGATGTCTCTAACCAGAGTCCACAAAGTTCAGAAAATGGCTCTTTTAAAGGTGTTTATGATAGCAGGGCATTTTACCAGCATAATGGAAGCAGTGGAAACATGCTTTTGTATGGCAGTCCAAATTCAGTGAGCAACTTTTATGACTGCCATGGCAATCCCATTTCTTCTCATACCCCAACAGTGGATCAGAACCCCATTCTACATGATTTTATGAATCCACAACTTTTTTGTCAACCCCTCGATCTCAGAGCAACAGGTCCCACAATGACAACTGCCAATGTAACCTCAAGTTCAATGTCTTCACAAAGATTGAACATTTCTAGAAGTAATCAGTCATATAACTTTGATGCCCCCATTTTAGATGGTCCACAGGGTTCTTCGCCATTTGATGGTGCAGAGTTTTCAAAGGTATTTGTTCAATCAACTTTGCAACAACAAGTTGAAAATACCTATGGGAACTGGAACATGCCTCAGAATATAAACTGGACTGATCAGCAACAATTCTATCAGCCACAGTATTGTTATAATTTCCCAATTGACTCAAATAATGATCTGTATCAAAGGGTTTATAGAAAGAAACGAGTGGTCAACAGTAGCATTGAGTCACCAAGAACACCAAAAACTTTTTTGAGAAAATATAAAGATGCCAAAGAGAAGCTTGAAGAAAACCGTACTCAGAAACAAACAACAGTAAAGGCTACATTGTCTGTGAGTATATTGTATTTAGATTATCTTTTTACGCATTGCTTCTAAGGAGAGGTGGTATATGCAGAGATGTGATTTTGTTCCATGCAGGAGGGGCCGAGCTAATTACAATGCAAATAAAGGGGGATTGTTAATTTTAAAATAGTTAATTGAGGGATAGGCTTTGTTCAGCTAATGTATACTTAAAACATTTATCATGCTTAATAAATGTCAGCTTTAGTCTTAAAGCGTCTTTAAAAACATTACTGTAATTAAGGTTCACTCTTGACAAGACACAACATGCCTGAAAAAACATTTTTGAGAAGTTAGAAATGAAGGCAACCAGTATAGATAAATTTTTAGGACCACAAAGCATTTAATTAATAAGTAAGGGCCGAATCTGCCTCTCTGTTTGGACTATGGCAAACACTTGACTTCTTTTTAACCCAGTATCAACTAATTACCTTTATAAGCTGTTTCAACATTTGGTAAAAGCACAAAAACACAATGAATGCTTCCTGTGATGTGCTATTGATAGTTTTACATTTCAGTTTTGATCACATCCTAGATATCTGTACGATCATTTTTAAGTTTTTGAACAAATCAAAATCCTATTGTTATTATGGATAATTTTATGTTTTTCTTAAAATTTCAAAATTGCCTGTGTATTCTGAGATCAAAGTGCCAAAAATTCTTTCTTAAACGACTTTCGTAAGTTTACCTATAATTTAAAAGTTTCAATATGTCCTGTCAAGCCCAAAATATTTCAGTCAAAGCCTTTGTCATTGGTGATTATATTACTACTTATTTCTAGGACAATTTCCGTGCTTGCAGTAACCCACAGACTTCACAAGCAGATTCAAGCAAAATGTCACCTGTCCACATACCTACTCTGAAGCTAGAAGGTACAATTTGTTTACATTTTTATAAGTGCCGACACAAGCCATGTCTTGCCATATTTTGGCTTGATTGTTTTTTTCAGTTTGATCCTTGTGTTCAAAGTCTTTCAAAGGAACTTTCAATTCACAATCAACAAATGAAAATAAATATTCCTATTTAATTAGCAAAATTCTTTTTTTTCGTGCAAAGAAATTTAAAACCTGAACAAATAGTATTATTCTGATCAATTGAATCCACTGATAACTTGTGGCATGTATTTCTTTTACAGACCTTGACAACTATGACCAAATCCTTACACTGGTATGTAGATTTAGATTTTGCAGACTTTGGAGACAATTGTTATCTCTTCTTAGTCGGTAACCACAACCAGTGATGCTCATTAATTGCTGCTTCATTAATGTTAAGAAAGATCTAACAGAGAATTGTGTAATACATTATTGAACAGACCTTTATTTGAAAATGTTCTTTATAAACATACTGGGAACTATGTCAAGAGTAAAATAAGGCTAAAAAGATTAACAAATATATTTGAAGTGCCAGAACTGTATTTATGTGATATGAAACCATCAAATTTCCTTTTAAAATTTTGCTGAATAAAGGATAATTTAAGCTTATCCAAGGTCATCATTTGGGCTCCTCTTTTATTCAAACAGAAACAATTTTAATATTAAGAACACTGGATTTGGTTAGAACTTTGCACTAGAGATGTAACATGGTATAACATAAAGATGTATACATTAGAATGCAAGTGAGCTGTTCAGATGTCATTTTCTGTGAGAAATTTGTCATGAAATCTCAGTCCCTCATTGTATTTCTTCATCACTTGATTAAACATATGCCATCAATTTTTTAGATTAGGACTTCAAGGGATGAATTGCTACCATATCTCTGTCTACCAGAAGAAATATTGCTGTACATTTTCTCATTCTTGTCCAAATCAGATCTTTGTAAATGTGCACGTGTCTGCAAACAGTTTAACAGGATATCACTGGATGAAACCCTCTGTATGTTTCAGATGTCAGATTTTCCATATTTTTTCATTTGATTCGTAGTTTTAAAACAGCAAGAGAAAGAAAACGTTGTCACTAATAATTGCCATTGAAACATTTCTGACCAGACGTACCTGAATTTCCAATATATTAGCAGTGCTACCTTAGCTAGTTGTAGCTCACATTAAAAAAGACAATTGATCATAGTTGCAAGCAAAGAAGCCTGAGTTTATCTAAGTGTTTTATGTTGCAGTTGCTTTAATGTTCTGTTTCTATGTCCTGTGTTCAAGGAAACTTCTTTTTTAGGGAAAGAAATTTTTATCAAGAAGAATAACGATATCAGTGATGAAATATTGCAACACATTTCAAAAAAGTGCCCAGTTTCTTTGACAATAACTCAATGCCACAGTAACAAGGTCACAGAGAATGGATTACGGGATCTTTTTCGAACATGTGGTGATGGTCTTCAGGTATAATTTGGCACCAGTAGACTTATTTTCTTGCATCCTTTTATTCTATGTTTTTAGCATTTGGTTATCTTTGAGAACAAATTATCTGGTGGGTTTGTTTTCCTTTACTGGAACCATTTGACCACCTGCTATCAACCAACCTAGATGTCCATCCATAAAATAGGTTTTCCGGGTTAATATAGTTCAACTTTAAAGAAAGACCCATTCTTTGGAGAGCTGTTGAATACCTTGGAGCACATATGGTTTTTATGTCCCTTGGTTCATTCAAGACCTAATCTAGGGCAATTTGCAAGGTTATCATACATAATGAATTTTCAAATTTTGAGAAATCCATATTATCATTTGCCTTAAATCATTATTTGTAAATTGTTTCTGAAATTTTGTATCTCTTCAGTCTTTTCACCCATCCTCCCCTTTATGAGGTAAAAAATTACATCATGATATCTCCCCCCTGAAATGGGTAGACCCTATTTTCTGATACCCTGTAACATAATATTATGTTGAAGTCCAGAACAAGCTTTCTTCCCCTGCTATATAGGGTTGGATGAAACCCAGTTTGACTGCAGAATATTCACTTTTGAAAATATCCTACAGATTACAAGCAGCTGGAAGTTATTTTAGCTATTTTTGGAGAAAGGAAAATATTACAAATTTTGCAAAATGGGGGGGGGTGTTGAAATCCACTCCTTTCAATTTCAAACCAATTCTCATAATCAAATGTAACAGTTGTTTATCTTGTGATTTTTTCTAGTAATTTAATATTTACTTTTGATTGGATTTCTGTCTTTTAAGGACCTCGATTTTAGTGCATGCAGTGGCAAAGCATTGGTTGGCGAACTTATCTTGCTGCATGTTTCATCAAGATGCAAGAATTTACGCTCACTTGATATTAGCTGGTCAAATGTATCTGACATTGGTATTCAAGCGGTTTCTGAGGCAGTGGATAGGTAGGACAGCAATTTTTAGTACGATCATTTCCACGAAAATATCGATAATCTACATCGGTGTGTTGAAGCAAAAAACCGACTTTTACTTTGTCAAACCTCAACTAGATTTGTTTCTCGTTTCTAGTTTCACGTCTTCATTTAAACACATAATATTTCAACTCGATTCTAGGTTTCTTTCATACTATTATTTAAACATCGTCCAGTTAGTTTTATTTTAATTTCTATCAAAGATTGGAATGTATCTGCATGAACGGGTGTCAGTATGTCACTGATGAGGCTGTGAGATCAATTGCAATTAGACACAAAGAAAGGTGAGGAGAATTACAATCGCCGCATAATGCTTTTTTGATAATAATTTCCAAAAACTTTATATTATTAATTTGTTGCTACCGAACTCCCATCGTTTCTTATTCTAAGTGAAAGTTATGCCAGGGACATGAACCCAAGACACAGGGACTTGTAGTCCGCGATCCTAACCATTGGGTCACCCTAATACCTTGGAGTTTGAGAAGTAGATTACACCGTAAAAATTTGAGGTCTCGTAACAGGGTTTGTTGTTTATAGGTGAAGTTAGACGCGAATTTGGAGCTTCTTTTAGCTCTGAATTTCAACTCAGCGTTTATTGACTACACATTCCTAGATCACAGTGAGTCATACAGTGCAATCTAAATCAAAGCATAGTTCTCATTTAAATATTGATAATCGAAATAAACATTTGACGTTGTTGAGTGAGGCTATATAATAACCTGATTGACATCTGACTTGTTTTCATCTATTTATTTCGAACAGTATTCGAGTTGTCGAGATGTTTGGCTGCTTCAACATCAGCAATGTTTCATTAACGATATTACAAGAGTATTGTCCACTAATAGAAACCTTCAACATTGGACAATGTCACAAGGTAAAAGTTTAAAAGCTGATTTTCGAATGTAATTAAATCGAAATGAGACGGGGTATTTCCCCTAAGTACCAAATATGGGGGAAATTGCGCTTAGAAGAAGTTTAATTTCTTTTCAAGCTACCTGCTGTAGTAGAGTTTCTGGTTGTTGTTAGCAAATTAATTGTTATTGAAGCTTCCTATGAACTCAAAACGTCATATTAAAGCTCGATTTTGGTGAAAATTGTTTGCAAGATGCTATATTTCATGGGCAGATATTAGTATTTTAGTTCCTTCTACTAAAATATTTCTTTTCTTACGTTTTGAGGAAAGTAAATTTTCAAACAACGGCAATGAAGGCTTTGTGTTTAATCATAAGTCACGACATTTCTTGAATTTCTTTTGTAGTTTATTACGCGCATGTATTTTGACAATGCTTGATTTTGTAGGTATCTGACGCTGCTTTGGCAGGGTTTGCGAAGAAAGCAAAAAGACTTGAAAATGTTGACCTAAGAGGCTGTAAACAGGTATAACTGTGTCATTGACTTAATTTTATTAATGAACTCAACAGAATGAATAATTGTGGCGAGGTTTTGAGCAAATACAGTGAATATAGACGGAAAATATGTACCTGTCATCTTGTGGCCTTCAATGTGATTTTTGCGGGCTTAATGTGATTTTGTTCAAACCAGCCACATCATCGCTTCAACTGTTCTTTCTACAAAAGGTATAGACAGGGTAGTTGTAATATCTGATCCCATATAGTTTATTTTTATCTTAATATCAGCGATAAATTTCTAGAAGAGAAAAATGGGAATTAATCGCTTAATTCGAGTTAATACCCGCGGGGAAAGTGCGCAGATCCCCCTTTTCTAGAATCGGGTAGTCCCACACGTATATCCTTAAAGCCTGATTTACACGAGACGAATTTTTCGCGCGAAGCGAATTTTTCGCCACGAATTTTTCTCCTGCGAATTCGCTGCGAATCCGAAGTTTAATTTCCACTGGCAGAATTTATTTTGCGAATTCGCCGCGAATAATGCCAAAGAAAATGGCGTCTGTTCGAAGATTGTTGTTATTGAAAAAAAGCGAGCAAAAAGCAAATAAATGGGTACTTGGTTCGGAAAATTTATTGAGAACGTCTGCAGAAGGGGGAGTTTCATCTTTTGGTAAGTGACTTACGCTTACATTGTCAGGAATAATTACTTTCGAATGTCGCCAACTACATATGAGGAGCTTTTATCGTTTATTGCACCAAAGACGCCTGTTGCTAGAAACGTCCCATTACATTGTTTATGTTATAGGTGCGGGATTTTCCCAGCATTGTTTAGGCCTAGTCATAGGTTACTCATTCTTCACCCATGTTGTTGTTTGAACCATTGCGTAGTTTTCTGTCGTTTTGCATACTTTTGATTTAGATATGTTCACATTGCGTAGCACCATTCGGCCTAGCCCTTCCTTTGGGTTCGTGTCAGATGTCTTCAATTGCTGTTCTGATTGGTTTATTTTACATGGCGAAAAAATTCGCAGCGAAAAAGTAGGAATGGTTTCTACTTTTTCGCAGCGAATTATTCGCTGCGAATTCGCTGCGAATTCGCTGCGAATTTTCTAATCTCCACTTCTGCGCGTATTTTTCGCGCATTCGCGGCGAAAAATTCGCTTCGCACGAAAAAATTCGTCTCGTGTAAATCAGGCTTAAGGCTGATTTCCACGAGGCGAATTTTGCAGCGAATTCGCGGCGAAATCGCTGATGAAGGCATCAAGGCATGCGCAGTTTTGATTTTTGATTTCGCAGCGAATTCGCAAGAAAGTAGAAAAGAGTTCTACTTTTTCTCGGCGAAATATTTCGCAGCACCTAATAACCATTCAAAGCATGGTAAATTTGCTTGATTTGTAAGAAAACAATCTTGGAACACTCGCCATGCGTGCAGTTCTGAAAATGGGCGCCTTAAAGTTGAGTTTTGGCGGAAATTATTATATAATTTCGCAGCGAATTCGCAGTCTCGTGGAAATCAAAGACAATTTCGAAGCGAATTCGCAGCGAATTCGGTGCGAAATTCGCCTCGTGGAAATCAGCCTTTAGTAGGCTGTGAATATCAAGTTACCTTAGCTATTTGCTAATAACCTTGGTGGTATTCTAGGTGGTATTAACTCCTAATACCTTGTGGTGTTTTCTAGGTGGTATTAAGCCCTAGCCTATTTGTTTAAGTACAGTGATGCAACTCGAGTCACGCCATATTTTGCAGCAAGACTCACGCGTGTTTGTACGCGTTTTCCCCTCCCATCCCTGTCCCCTGGTACTCGTTTCTCCTCCTGCCTATATCCCGTTACATACTTCCTCCTGCCTTCTCCTGTCTCACTTCTTCTCACACAGTCATTCGATTGTGTGACAGATGTATCAGTCTGATTGTCGGGGTAAAAAACTGAGGCAGTTTTTTCCCTGCAATCAAACACCGACCATAAAATTGCGTCATTGCTCAGCCAAGACCAGGGCTGATGCACCAAAAGCCCAAAATGTTTTTCCTAAGATTAGGGTGTTGTTTCTCATAACTAAGGGGCCCCGCGATGGAATTAATTGCCAGTATTGCTTACATCTTATGTTTAAAATTGATGAACCAGGATTTACGTGTTTAATTTCAAGCCACAGCAATGTTCGATTGTTCTTTGTGAAAGATATAATGTTTGATGGTTTTGCTTGACCGCATGGTGATTTCTTTTTATACGATTTTCGTTCTTATGTTAACAGATCAGAGACACGTCTATGAAAGTCATAGCAGAAAGCTGTCCGAATCTGTCCACTCTGGTTGTTGCCAACTGTCACATGGTGACAGATGCATCGCTAATTGCTATTGCCTCCAGTCTGAAGAATATCAGGTAGGAAAGAAGGTTTTTCCCATAACTACCCAGCTGTATACCCAGCTTACCAATGCTTTAAGCCTGTAATATCTGGCTGGTGCGTCATGCACCTCAACACAAAAGTATCTTATCCTTGCTTCCAGCTACTTTCGTATGCTCTATATTGCTAGCCTCGTCAACTATAACCACAAGTGCATGAATTGCCATTTTTGCCATTTCTATGAAAGAACATCTTTCATATTGTCCTTTTGATCTTGCAAGGTCACTGGCTGCATCCTAAATGGTACAATCTTTATTTTGTCACTAGTTGCTAGTGTTGTGGTAATGCTAAAATTCTCTTGAATTTTTTGCTAGATGTATTGATGTGTGCGGATGTACGAAAATCGCTGACCGTGGTATCCAAGCTCTTGCTAAATCATGCAGTAAACTGCAGATGATCGATTTCAGTTCCACAAAGACAAGTGACAGAGCGTGAGTATATGAAACCTATTTTTAATAAACAACAAAATCATGTTTTCATTAGATGGCAGGCTTGCAAGAAAGTGAATTCTCTCGTTTTCTTCTTCAGCATTAAAAGTGTTATTCTCGCCTCTTAATAACAATGAAATTCAAATTTGTTTCGTTTATGTTTACAACCTTCCAACCAACTTGAGCATTTCAGGGTATTTTGAATCATACGAGAGTTTTTGAGAAAAAATTTAAAGTAAAACTGTCAGTTGAAAACAGTGTGGTTGTTCACCAATTTATTTATTTTTATTTTTTTTGTAAACATGTACCTGAACAACACACGTTTCTGTTCCCACAAATGATGACTTACACGATGATGTTCACGTTGTTTGCTTAAATATAACACAACTAAAAAGTCGAAGGAAAAAGACATGAGGGTTTAGAATTTTCAGCGTCTGAGTAAAAAAAATTCGAATCGTTTGTGGTGTTGTTATAAAAGTTTTTTTAATATTTCATTTTATATTTTGGTTCTATGTCACTTTTTCGTCATTTATATTTTTTAGTGTTGTATCGTTGGCCAATTATTGCTGCCAAACTTTGAAGGCCGTTAAAATGAGTTTCTGCAAAAGCATCACAGAAGGATCGGTTGAGCATCTGGCCAAAAAGTGTCGCAAGTATGTTTGTTTGTATCTCGTAAATGTGCGGAAATGCACGTACCAATGTTGCGGGAAAGCAGAATATTCTTTTTCTGCTTTTTGTGTCCACCAAGATTTAATATCTCGAATTTTTCAGTAAATTAAATATTATACTTGTGAAGTGGACTTGAAACAGCTTAAAATAGCAGTAGAGACCAGTTCTCTTCGTTATTTCAACCTGCAATCAGTCGGTCTAAACTCCTTTATTCGATGGAATCAGGCTATAGTAGCCAATAACGCGCATCTTCACGTGTTAAGGAACACTAGAAACTGCCTTTCTGTGCAGAAGTGTTTGTAGTCAAGTTAAGGGAGGTTCTGGCCTTTTCACATTTTTGTTGCCGTTACCTTTATTTGGTTGCCATCACCTTTATCCAATATCTAGTTTCCTAGGTACTAAGATGCTAGGTATGAGGTGCCATAATTACCAGTTTTATTATGTATTACATTTAAAAACCTTTTTGGCGTTTCAGGGCCTAAGTTTTTGTTGGCGATTATAGCTGTAAGACCACTGTAACGACCGTTACTTCGCTACAAATTAAGGGCATTCAAGCCTATCAGCTACAGTGAAATCCGGCTATTATGAATTCTGTCGGGAACAAAAAACAAAATTTTGTAATAGCGGGAGCTCATTAGAACGGTGGTTTGTCAAACAGGGAGTTTGCCAAGTGCCCAGGCTTTCAGCTCGTAGACTGTATTTTACTTTCAGACCTGTCTTTGATTTACTTGTTTTTTTCATCAACTTACATTTTAGAGAACAACCACTTGTAATAACTGTCTGTCGGCTCTTCTATGCAATCTTAATGCAATCCTGTTTCAGATTGACGCTGCTTCATTTGTATGGCTGCAAAAGAATAAAGAACCTGCCAAGGATTCTAGACTGCAATAGAGGACTTGTGATTGAATCTTGATTTTGGATCAGTTATTGATTTTGGATCTGATTCATGCTTGAATGAAGCAGCAGCCGCAATGTAATTGCTTGCAGATTGAAATACATCTCTGTCAGATAGACACAGAATGAACATTCCTGTAGAACCTTAGCAAATAGAGCCTTGCAGCCTTTCCGAGAACACAACAAGTGTTTTAATAAGATTTATTAATTCTTTCGCCATCTTACGTTTGGATGAACCTCTCTCGAGGGTGCTCTGCAAGGTAGCACCGTTAAAATGAAGAAAGTCAGTTGGCAGTGTCTACCTCAATGAAAAAAAACCAGATAAACAGTAGAATCAAATACTACGCTGTATAATTTTACTTACTTCTTTTTACATTTTTTTAAATCGCCTACTTATAAATCACTATCCCAAAAATAATTTTTAAATAAACTATATGAAATGGGCTTATTACCGGCTTGCATGATTTAGAAATGAATTCTTGAAACTTTCAGTGGTTTGTCCTGCTGTTATGAACTTAAGGGAAATTAAAACAACTTATGTATGAATTTTAAGTTAACTAGGAAGAAAATTTTAATCACTGTTTATAATTCGGTAAAATTTCACACTGGTTCTTCAAACGTCGAGGGTCGTATAAGAACAACACTTCCATAGGAGGGAGCAGCAACCTTGATTTATTTGCGTTTTAATGAGTCCAATGTGCGCTCTTAGCACCCCCCTTCCTTGCCATTTCAAGCAGCGATGATGGGTTATTTTATTTTGAAAAGTTTTATTTGGATACGCACAGGGACGCAGAAAAATTGGAGTGTGTGGGAGGGGCAATCGCCCCTTGCTCTCAGTAAGATAATTTCTTTCATATTCTTTTGTTTTACCGCTTACCCAAACTCCTTTGATTCTGCTCCCTTTTCCCTAAAGAGTTTCTTGCCTTCCAGCATATGACAGTCACGTGCACAACAGCGCCTCTCCAAGCCCTAGGAAACAATACCTTGCTTTTTAGTTTCATTTATGTACATATAGAAGCACTGGGAAACACCCCAGTTCTTAGCTAGTATTAAAATTTGATGCTTTTTGCCATCAATTCGTCGTTGGTTGGTATTTTTTGTAGATGTATTAATTTACTGGCCTTGTAAAGGTATTTGCGCTATATGATGGAACCAATATAACATTCACGCCCTGAATAAGCTCTGTTACATGAAAACGCCTTCAACCACCTTTTGATAAACACGTTGTGTGGCCCACTACGTTAATATGTTTTTTTGTCGAACTTTAAGTGGTTATTTCTTCATGAATTTAACGATCAGAAAGTATCTATTTAATAACACTCTTCAATATCTGGCATAGCGAACCTTATGATGGTACCCTGGCTTGCATTGCCCCTTTTGTCAAGCAGGGTCTTTTTTGAAACCCCAGATAACCGCTTGTATTCTCCAGTATAAACTTCACTACTCCTTTCGTTGTTTTTACATTGTCGTTCGCAATGTATTTTTACTCAATCAGTCACGTTTGGCAATATCAATAACGATTTATTAGCTTTTCTAGATTCCAATCCTTATTGTTCTCTTTCTTTATTAGCTAGACCCTGTAAATATTGATGTTTCTAAGAGTTTTAAATGGATCCAAATATGATGAAAATTTATTTAGATGATTTAGCAAGGTCAGGTTTCGACTGAATGCTCATTGACTACAACAGTGCTTTGTTAGGACAGCCAGTTCTAGCATCACCACAACGGATATACAATTAACCTTGGACTATCTGACAAGATGGGTGCTAAAGTAAGATCTAACGATCGATCGAGACATAAATGGTTTCAAAGTTTCCCTATTTCATTGCCTTTGAGCTGATTTCACTTTCTTTCTATAAAATGTTCCAAGCAGCTAACAAAAACGTAACGCGATTAATATTCTCCCACAACCACAACCCCTTCCAAATCAGATATTGATATGGGGAAGAAAATTTGTCCCCAATAAACACGCCCCCAATTGGTCGCTATTTGTCCCCAATAGACACGCCCCTAATTGGTCGCCAATTCCTCAATATTTGATAGAGAATATACAGCCTGATTTCAATTTGTTATCTACAAGAATGAATCCCCCTATGGAACATTATGAGAATAGTGGTAGTCTATAATTTCGTTTTAGGAAAATTATTTGAAATATTATAAATTTTATAAACAATTTAATCTAGTACTTTCCTTGATAGATGAGCTAAGTCAAGGTATGATTTGAAGTGTAGTTTTAAAGAGCATTTGATGTGTTATTGTAACATACTTTTACTTTGTTGTGTTTTGTTATTCGGGGCTTTTCCATCAAGTTTTGGTATAAATATCTGTAAAAAGAGCATTTAGTTGGTTTGTAAATTCGGCTTTTTCTGTCCCCTTTTCTGCTCCTTTTCAACTCACTTTGCTTCCGCAGATCCAAGCGAGTACGGATACCGTTAATCCTCGAATTAACCCCCTGGGGGCTTATTTATTTTTGATATTTTTGGATAGGGGCTTATTCGAAGGGGGGCTTATATGAGGGGGAGCTCATAAAATTATTGTAGACATTAAGAATACATCATTAAAATATCTCGTTTATTTTAGTAAAAATTTCTTTATGATCATTTATTTAATTACTACCAAAAGTATGAATTTGTTGTGGTAATTCAACAAAATACCATAGGCAGCCTCAGATGGCAAAAATCATCAAGTTGAGGGGTTCATTTCGAGAATTTACGGTAGCAGTGGGGGCTTATTCAAGAAGGGGGGGCTTATTGACAATTTGTAGTTCTAGGGTGGGGGCTTATTCGATGAGGGGGCTTTTTCGAGGGGGGGGCAATTCGAGGATTTACGGTAATGATCGGAAGATGACCGAGCGAAGGTAACCCTTAGTCCTTGTGTCAAAGAACACGCGTAAAAATGACTTGGCTTCATTCTTTCTTGAACAAATTCAAACTATATATATCTGACCCAGTCATTCTCATGAAAATAATTTCATTTAACTCTATCGTAACCAAGATCTCAAGTTTCATGGATATCGGATTTGGTCTTTGACGTTCATTCGTTTTGCCAGGGCGTAAGAATCCGAAATAACCATTACCATTTGGCGTCCTACGAGGGCAAACTGAAAATTTGGCTACCATTCGGAACGGACTAGCCGAGAAATACTTTATCTCCATCTTGTAAAACTGACTAGCTATCCGGATTAACTGAAAAAGACTTAATCTCCACCTTGTAAAACTAAACGAATATTAAGAGATACAAGAAAAGGCTTTTTGTCATCATCATCATTATAAAATTGCATGTTCCTTCTCTATTCAGGAAATTCAACTCATTGTTTGTCAATGCAATGTGTTGTGAAGTGTATAGTCAATCTCTATACATCTTTTCGATATCCGCGTGCTCAATTTGCTCGAAGAGACTGGGGCGAGAATTTCGGGGGGCATGCTTGCTATACATGATTGCATACTTGGGACATGCTGAAACAATTTTCCCTGATTTTTTTCTCATTGCATCTCAACTGGGGCCTTGTTTTCATAAGCAACGAATGCTGTTGCAGCTAACTCCAGTTTACTTCCCATAATTTTTAGTCCTGTCAGGCTGAGGAAATTTTTGAGCTCTTTCATTTGCAAAAACCTGTCGAAATTCATCGTGCGCTGTTTTTTCGATCGGCGACTTCCCTACCCTGTTGGAACACCATGATTGACAGAAGCTTAACAGAACGTATCCACATAGATCCGTACCAAAACTGGCTACGATAGGCCTTGCGTTTACACGGGCATGGTAGGATCCGTAACTTTTCTGGGAGATATCCGTACATTTTTGGGTACGATTCGAAAGCGAATCCATTTGGATCCGTACCTTCATCGGCGCCGTGTAAACGGGAAGATACGGACCCGCAAAGGCACGGCAGTAGAACGAGACTGTTGCTGGGGTCAATGGAGGCTATTTCAATTGTACGCAGCACTCATCATACAACAAAGAAACTACTCTCCCACCCCACTCTTTTTCCACAGTCGACAGCCTTTCTGAACCCTGTCTTCATCTTGTTTTATTTTCTTTTCACCTTTTCTCTTGTAATTTTTTTCTATTTGGAAAGTCCTCTGTTGCTGTTTCTGGATAGGCCTCGATAAATTTAAATGGAATGTCTTCGTATTTCGACATAACAGACCCCCAGTCTTCTCCATTTTGCATTTTAGTAGCTTTGTAACCCATAACTATTTTCATCAACAAAGCTGTCTCCTCGTCTGTTAATGTAAAAATGAACGCTTATCGTTGCTTGCAAATGACGCCATCTAAGATATTCTCGCGCCAAAATGAAAATTAACAATTACCTTGTCATTGCGCATGCTTTAAACGAGAGATTTTATTTTGATCCGTTCCCGTGTAAACCCTTTAAAGTTTAGGATCCGATCTCGTGTAAACGCTTGTGGATCGTACCCATATCGTACCTAAAAGGTCCGGATCTTTTGGATCCGTTCTTTTTTCTCTCGTGGATACGGGGCCTAAAAACCAGCTTTCGAGATAAAAGACTACAAAGAATGTTTAGGAATCAAATCCACAAAATTTCGAATACTTTTGATGCCAATTCGGACAACATTTAGTCACTAGTTAACACCGCATCTATATGTAGACATGGGCCTGTGGCAAATTTTTGACCCAATTTCTCGCCCCAGTATCTTTATGCAAACTAAGCGCGGATATCGAAAAGGATTATTGCTATTTACAATAGGTGTATTGTTTTGAAACTGCAACTATTGTCAGTGGATATGCCAAAAGGCAAGTGGCAACCCACAAAGGCCTCTTTCGCTACCAGTTTGGCATTGGAGCAGTAGGTGGCAGGCTTCTCACGAAACGAGTGACATCAAGCGAAATAGACAAAGTACCATCACATACACTAAGAGAAACAAGGTTCGCAATTTCATTAATAAATCTTTGATAAATTGATAAGTTTTCGTAATTTGTATAAGTTGAAAACTACCGATCTGCTTCTAAAACGTATCAGATTCCTAAAACACGTCTCCGTGCACACAGAAGCAATCGAACCAATATGGCTTGATAATAAAGAAGAGGCCACGATAGCAGGCTGCTTCTAAAACGTATCAGATTCCTAAAACACGTCTCCGTGCACATAGAAGCAATCGAAGTAATATGGCTTGATAAGAAAGGAGTGGCCACGATAGCAGGCTGCTTCTAAAACGTATCAGATTTCTAAAACACGTCTCCGTGCACATAGAAGCAATCGAAGCAATGTGGCTTGATAATAAAGGAGTGGCCACGATAGCAGGCTGCTTCTAAAACGTATCAGATTCCTAAAACACGTCTCCGTGCACATAGAAGCAATCGAAGTTATATGGCTTGATAAGAAAGGAGAGGCCACGATAGCAGGCTGCTTCTAAAACGTATCGGATTTCTAAAACACGTCTCCGTCCAACAGTGGCGGACTGGCTACCCTTTAACCCACCGGGAAAAGCAAGCAAAAGGGCGCCATTAGGTGTTAAAGTTGCTTATTTTTGGGGCTTATAAAACGGGCCCGGAAAAATTTTGCCATATTACATCATAAAAATCCTTTGCAATTGAAAACACCCTATTTAGAATGTCGAAACAATTGGCATTGGCATGAAGAAGACTCTCTGTCAAATTGACTGTATTTGAAACGTCTACAAGGCTGGTCAAATTTGTAGGTATCAAGTGACGTATTGTTCTCAATGCATGAAATGTTATTAAATGATAGATTTTGAAAGTTGGACTAAAACTCAAAGCCCGTTTTCAGTTAGCGAGACACTCCCTTCCAAGACTATATAAAGAAAGCAGCTTCTCTGGCCTAGAAGACGAGATTATTTTCGATTAAACTCGATCTCAAAATCTTTAAAATTTGACGAAATATATGACTTCGTTCTCATCAAACGGTAACATAAAATTTTTTGAAAGTTTTGCAGCATATCATTGAGAAATGTAAAGGGGTGCCTCAGCACCTGCTAGCCTAATGACTATGTTGCTCCTGCTTCCACGCTACAGTTACATATCATTTACAAAAGATATGATTCCAGCTCATCAGCGTGCGGAAATATGATCAGGTATTGATCTGATCATGTGCTCAAAACCGTAGACTTGTCTGAAAGATATCTGATAACATATCTTGGACAAATGGATTTTGAGAGATCTTGCTGCCATCCTTTTTGCGCAAATTGATGATTTTGCAAATTGATAGGCTCCCTCTCTATGAGAAACTGTGCGTAGAAATGGTAAAAGAATAAAAAATTTCTTAAGAAAAGGCACAGTTACTTCCCGGGACAAAAATTTGAAGAAAGATTGGAAAATTTTTTTAGCTAGTTGTAAATTTGAAACCAGTTTTTTCAAAACAGCAGGTTTAACTTTCCATTAAGTTTTCTAGAAGGTTCTTACATAAGGGTATCAATCTTCAGCAAATTCAGTATGTTTTTTTTAAAAAATGGCCAAGATTTTGGATATCAAGTTAGTGATAATTTCTTTTGGTACAAAACTCCTGGTTTTAGCGTACAAAAAGCAGGATGCCTGTGAGTTGTTAGTTGAATTGCAAAACATAATAGCTTGCCACGGACAGGAAGTATTGTCCTTAGAGCAGTTTTCACTATCAAGGGATAGTTGATGGCCCAAAGAAAAAAGGACTACATATTCAAGAGAGACAACACAAGGAATATGCACATATTACGGCAATATTTGAAAAAACCCCTTCTCCCTAAACAACTATTTTAACAAACTTTAACAAATAGCCAAAATAACCGTAATAGCCACAACGTTTGTGTAAATCCCCCCTCCCCATCTTTGATTACATAAGATGTGAACGTTCCCATACCCAGTAGCCAACACATCGATAGTTTTATCCAGTTACAGCCATTCTGATTAGAAAGAACACATGGTAGTGCTCAGCTAATTTTTTTTCAAAGCGCGGGCCCTCAGTTATTGGAAATCAGGCACTAGGATTAATTTGCATTAGCCATAAGTCAATATGGTTAGTCAGAAGTCATTGGTTTCACAAAATTATTAGTCATCAGTAAATTGGCAAAAAGTCTGCTAGTTAGCTAGTGAAAATCCCTACTACCCCCTCAACAGAAATCGAATTAATTAAAATATTGTGCACTTGCTTGAAAAAATAACAAGTTAACCAAATTACAAGACGTTTTATACTCTGAGGAGTTTCAGACAAAAAAGCTTCTAGTATGTTTGAGAAAATTGTTTAAGTCATTTTCAAAGCAAAATATGTTCTTTACAAGGTTTTCAGAAAATCTTGCAGAATTTGCAGATTGGGAAACTTTGCTATCAGTCTTAATATTGCTCAACTTAAAGGTGAAGCTAAACTTTTTATGCAAACGTACTTTGGGCAATTGATGATTGTAATCAATTTTAGTTCTCTGCAAAGATTAGTTGCCTTTTGAAAGTTTTCATGTTTTTGAAAAAAATAACTTGGGGCAGAGGGCGCACTGGGAAATTTCCCCGTGGGCCAGTCCGCTTTTGCCGTACACATAGAAGCAATTGAAGCAATATGGCTTGATAATAAAGGAGAGGCCACGATAGCAGGCTGCTTCTAAAACGTATAAGATTCCTAAAACACGTCTCCGTGCACATAGAAGCAATCGAAGCAATATGGCTTGATAATAAAGGAGAGGCCACGATAGCAGGCTGCTTCTAAAACGTATCAGATTCCTAAAACACGTCTCCGTGCACATAGAAGCAATCGAAGTAATATGGCTTGATAAGAAAGGAAAGGCCACGATAGCAGGCTGCTTCTAAAACGTATCAGATTCCTAAAACACGTCTCCGTGCACATAGAAGCAATCGAAGCAATATGGCTTGATAATAAAGGAGGGCCACGATAGCAGGCTGCTTCTAAAACGTATCAGATTCCTAAAACACGTCTCCGTGCACATAGAAGCAATCGAAGTAATATGGCTTGATAATAAAGGAGGGCCACGATAGCAGGCTGCTTCTAAAACGTATCAGATTCCTAAAACACGTCTCCGTGCACATAGAAGCAATTGAAGCAATATGGCTTGATAATAAAGGAGAGGTCACGATAGCAGGCTGCTCGACGGACTCCAGAGAAAATATTGCAGCGAAAAATCGATAAAATAGTAGAGCACCGCAACGTGACGAGAATAAACAACAACAAAGTTACAAATCAGTGATAAGATACCGTTATAGTTGTTGATCGATAGAAACAGGGAGAGAGATAGAGAGAGATTTTTGAAAGAGCAAGGTTGTGATGAAAAAGCAAATTATTTTTTGCATGAAGAAGCTGGGAATCGCTTTTTTAAGCATGCTTGACATACAAAGCTAGAATTCTGTTCTGTGCTTAATTGGTCCTTTCAAAGTCAAAATGTAGACGGGATAGATTTGTCCCGGGGGTACTCCCAATATGGCCTAACAAGGGGGTCCAGTCAGGGTCAAAGAGGGTCAAAGCTAAAATGTTAAAAATTACCCTCAAATGGTAGTCTTTTTAAAAGTAAACCTCAAATGGTAGCATTAAAACCAAAATTATGCCTTTGGAACCACCCTTTCTTTGTGCTCGCCTGGTCCTACTTTGACAAATTCTTTCGCCATTAACTCTTGTTGATTCTGGAAAGATCGAATCTTGTTCATAACCTATAACAAATTGCAAACTAAACTAAGCCGTTGTGTTATTCTCGAAACAGGGCCATTTGGAAAGACCCTAAAATCAACTGGACCCCCCTGTCAGGCCTTAATGGGAGTCCCCCCCCCCCCTTGGGAGATTTGTTATAATAATAATAATAATAATAATAATAATAATATAATATATCTCGCCAAATCTCCGTTTCGGAGCAATTACTATAGAACAATCACAGGATTGCCAGGAAAGACGTCGACTGCAGTAAAGTACCACAGGCTAATTTTCACTTACTTGATTTCAAAAGCGATGCATGTATAGAAACGTAAGATAATGACGGCCTGCACTCTTTTTTATAAGAACAATTTTATAAGAGTACGAGCCTCAAAACAGGTCAAAAAACGTTAAGAACAAATTAAGAACAAGCTGTGGCTGAGCTACTGCTAAATGTAATTTTGAACAATTTTCATCTCAAAAACGAGTTCTTTGCCATCTAGGGCTACTTTTTCGGCAAATTGTCTGCAAATAAAAGTTGTCTCACTCACTTTGTTGGCAAACACCTCCCTAGAGCACGATAGCTAGGAATTGCACTGCCTACACCCTAATAATTTAAGAGAAAATTAAGAACAATCCAGCCTCAGATTTTTAAAAACTAAGAACAGCCAGCCTGAACATCAGTTTACTAGTTCTTACATAAAGAAGAGTGTATTGGCCTGGGCCTTAAGCCCCAATTATCCGATACCATATTCATATCACATCGGAATACTGTTCATGTACTGAAAAGGGATGCAATGGAGTCACTCGTTTAAATGCATGAGCTCTCGGCTGCATAACCTCTCAGGTAGGCCTCCGTAATATATAATTGGGCGCCATCCAATGATCTGGCATCACTCCATTCACCAAGCTGCTACCCTGGATACCCAGGGTACCAATCTGCAAAATGGACTACAAAATGATTTAGGAGGCATTTCTTGAGACAGTAATTTCCTATATTTTAATTATCTTCCAAGATCCACTATCTTCGAAATATAATGTGAGAAGAAGACAAAGAAATATAAATCATAAAATGCCTTGCTCTTAAATAAAAAAACGCAACTAAATATGTATTCCTTCTTCCTGCATAAAAAGGGTAAGAGACGATTTTGGAAAAGCCTGGACGATGTGTCGATTGGTGGAAAAACGTTACACGTAGTTTTGAAATGTAATATTTGTCTAAAGAAGGAGGTCAGGCGAAACGTCGCTTGCCTGGTTTTGATTGGTTTTGAAATCCCACGACGTTAAAAACGTACTTATAATTTTGATTTTTTTTCGACAACAGGGTCTGGTAAAATGGCTGGAAAACGCATTTGCTTAATCGGTGCAGGCCCGAGTGGAATGTCAGTTCTGTACCAAGCTGAAAAACTGCGAAAAGAAGGCAGAGATGTGCCAGAAATTGTTTGCTACGAGAAACAGTCAAACTGGGGCGGACTTTGGAATTATACATGGAGAACGGGTAAAGCTTTCTTCTTTTTTAAGTTACATCTTTATTGTTTTACGATTTATATTATTCGATGTTTTAAGATTTGCATGCTTCTTTTGTTTCAACCCCTCTGCATAGTCAAGTGTTTTATATTATTCGAGGGCAAGGATTGGGAAGGTGAATGTCAAATGATGACAAGATCAAAGAGTATTTGTTGAGCGTTACCCGAAGGTTAAAGATGTTGAATACGTTGATAAGGACTCTTCTAAGAAGCATTGAGATTCAGAACGAGGGTCTGGAGCGAAAGTGTACCGGATTCCCCCGTTTACACGGAATGTATTGGATCACTTTTCAAATCACCTTCACAGCGGAGTGCTTTCACTCCGCAAAAGTGGTATCGGACGTATCGGATTGATGCGGGCCGTGTAAACGCAACCCCTATCCGATATGAAAAGTAATCCGATACGTGAGTAATCCGGTATCGTGTAAACTCAGCCTGAAGCAACATGACGGAACCTTGGGAAGATCAGCTGAAAGTTGACAAATCCAGTATCGAGCGGCAAAAGAGTCAAAAATATTTTGTCAGGGCAAAAGCATCCCGGAGGTCTACCAGATGCCGCTTTGAGCTATAGGGGGCGCCTCGTTTTCATCTCGTTGTCTTCTATTACGTCCTGATTGCTACTCCATGACGTCATGACGCCCTTGCGTTTCTACGTGGTGTTTACAAAGCCACGCTTTAATTACCTTTACTATCTAATTTATATTTATCAGGTCTTGACGAATATGGTGAGCCAGTTCACAGTAGCATGTACCGTCATCTATGGTCAAATGGGCCTAAGGAAACCATTGAATTACCCGATTACACATACGAGGATCACTATGGCAAACCAATCGCGTCCTTTCCATCAAGGGAGGTCCTTTTTGACTACATTCAAGGTGCGTGTTTATACTTTCGCTATCAATAGCAGGCCTAGCCATAAGACCTTTAGCAGGGGAATAGTAAACAGCTCTTCTAGTAAACAGCTCTTCTAGTAACTTCCAGGTGAGCTATTTGTAGATTAATAAGAATAGAAACAAAGAAAAAATTTATTTCAAGGAAAGCTATTTTCTTTCTAGAGCAGTTTAGGAGGGCAATCTGTAGCTCTCCTCCAGCACTTGAGGAGACGCGTGTATATCTCTAACCCTCTCTTCCTTTTCTCACTGCAGACATTGCTGGTTTATATACTTGTATCATTGATGAATTTTGATACATAAAAAACATATTTTTAGATGGTTTGTTTAAATACTGACCACGTCAACCTCGTGCCTCTAAGTTGAACATCAAAGTTAATATTATAATAGGAAACACAGTTTATAATTAAAAAAATTGTTCACTTTCATTGCAGGTCGCTGGAAGAAAGAGGAAAGTCTCCGTAAATGCATACTGTTCAACCATGTTGTCCGCAACGTTGACTACAATGACTCCACAGACAAATTCACAGTCGTTGCAAATAACTTAAAAGAGGACAAACTTTTGCCTCCGGAAGTCTTTGATTACGTCGTTGTTGCCTCAGGCCATTTCTCCACCCCAAATGTGCCATCTTTTCCAGGGATAGAAACCTTCCCTGGAAATGTGTTGCACGCACACGATTTCAGAGATGCCGAAGCATATAGAAACAAACGATTGCTGATGATTGGGTCGTCATATTCAGCAGAAGACATTGCCTTGCAATGTGCTAAATATGGTGCTTCGTCAATTGTGTGCACGTGGCGAACAAAGCCAATGGGATTCAAATGGCCTTCTACAATCACAGAAAGACCTATTTTGACAAGAATTGAAGGTAAGTGGTGTTTTAGTGCTTGACTGTTTGCAAAGCCTCGTTAACATGGTTATTCCAGTGACCTTTGTACGATATAATAACGTATTGACCACAGCAAGTTTTGTCCACGGCAAAAATTGCCCAGTACAGTTTCATCCCGTGAAGTTCTGTCTTTTGTAGTTTAAACCATTACAGTTTTATCCACTGCAGTTTTTTTCACTGGAGTTTTTTGTCTTCTACAAATTTGCCCAGTAGAGTTTTACCTACTGCAGTTTTGTCCTCTGCAGCTAAATCCACTGCAGTTTTTGTCCACTGCAGTTTTGCCCACTGCAAGTTTGCCCAACACTGTGCAGTTTTGCACATTGCTGTTTTGTTCATTGCGGTTTTATCCACTGCTGTTTTGTCCACTGCAAATTTTTGTCCACTGCAGCTTTTTGTCCTCTGAAGTTTTGACCCCTGCAATGTTGTCTACTGCAGCTTTGCCCCCTGCAGCTTTGTCCGCTGTAGTTTTGTCCACCACAGCTTAGGCCACTTGGAAAGATAACTCCACCTTTCCTTTTAGGCTCAACCTGTTATTTTAACGATGGCAGTCGATTTGAACCCGATGTTATCATGTTTTGCACTGGATATTTGATCACCTATCCTTTTCTTGCGGAAAATCTTAGACTGCGTGGAAGAAACATACTTTTTCCAGAGAATCTATATAAGAACACTCTTTGGACTGAAGGAGGAAACAAAAAGTTGTTTTACATTGGTGCTCAAGATCAATATTACACTTTCTCCATGTTTGATGCACAAGCTTTGTGGGCTGTCAAGTTTATTCTTGGAGATATACAAGCACCAGATTGTGAGCAAATGAGAGCTGTCTTGAAACATTGGATTGAAAAGTAAGTTTATTCAAGCAAGGCCTTTAACCTCGCTTTCTTGGCCGTTTCTTATCCAATTCAATACAACGTAGAGTAAACACGATTTCAAACGTGAACTTGACAACCCTTAACGTTTCCAAGACAAGCTGAGCGTTTCAAAGTTCGTTTGCTTTTTAACCCCATGCTTCTTTACAGTTTAAATTAATCCCTTTGTATAGTCCAGATTACTGTAGCCTCCGAGAAAACAATGTAGACGATCGAGTTAAGGAAGTTCTATAGAGAATGCAAAAAAGCACGAGTTAACGAAAGTTCGACTTTTCGAGGGTTCAAGCTATCGGGATTATACTGTACAAAACTCATTTTTTAGGAACCAAAGCTTGAAAGACTGTCACGATGAGATAAATTTTCAAACAGAAATTCTGGTCGACCTTGCGAAAGAGAGTGGTTACGGCTATGATTTGGACTGCAGCGACATGTTTCACGAATGGGAGCACCAAAAACATGAGGACATTCTCACGTACAGAGACAAAAGTTTCGCAAGCAAATTCACTGGTACCCAGTCTCCTCTGCATCACTGCACATTCATGAAGGCCTTTGATGATTCGGTTGAGGCGTACCTCAAGAATATCTGAAGTGTCAAGAGTATGTTGGAGTGGTCATTGACATCTGATAGATTTGTTATAGTTTGCAGGAAAACATCTTGATTGTTAACTTTGATTCTTGCTTTATTTTAATGAAATTGAAATATGGCTTATGGAAAAAGTCATTGAACAAAGCTATTTTCAAAATTTGGTTTTTTTCTTGTTCTGGGGAATGTGAGAATTAGACTGAATTGATTATTTGTTTTGCTACATCGAAAGTTGAGGGCATTTCATTTTTGAACTAACCATGAGTGAGACAGTATACAAAATTCATTCAAAGATGATGATACTTATGAATAAAAATAACCAGTAGAGCGCGTAGCAAGCTCAGGGCCAAGATTAACTAGCTTTTGCGACAATTGGCATAGCTTTACAAGCACTGAGCGTCTGTACATCGTAACAAAAGCAGATATCTAGCAGGCCTTGGCATAATGCCATATGGTTTTTACTGTTGTGCAATAGATTTGCTAAGTGTCGTGTCACAGAAATGAACTTTTTCATGAGTTATTGGTCATAAAGTCTCACGAAGAACAACATGAAATAATTAAAAATGTGTAACTTTCAATTGAAGCTCAAGTACGCCGAAAAACCACCGTTATGCAAAGACTGTTTTCCCTTTCTATCAAGATACTGCTAGTGGCACTAGAGAAAGTAGTTATACAGATAGTACATTCGTCGTGAGCTGATAAAGCCTATTCTATGATTCACGTTCTATCTGTTTTACTGTTTGATAAAGTAATCTACCAAACATTACAATAATATTTGCGATCATGATTAATTGAAACTATGAGTTACCTAACAGTGAACCAAGCACCAGGGAGATAGCCATTGTTTCTTGTCATGATATAGAGTAATGATACAACAACAACAAGCAACACGAGAGTTCTATGAAGACTAAAAGAAACTAGATTAAAATTAAAAACTTGTTGAAGGTGGTATGACCGAGGCCTGGGCAAAATAAAAAGTATCCGAACCAGGAACCGCGCTGCCATTGGGGTAGTAGGGGCTATAGCACCCCCACTTTTATGCAATGATAGGCTACAAAAGTTTTTGCAAAGTTTATTCTAATGCAACTTTGGATAGTTTACTCCAATGTTGTAGCAGCTCTTCTTTACTGGCAACCTTTTCTGTTCATCTTCTAGGTGTTCTATTTTGAACAATTTTTTTGCGGTACAGAATTTGAAAATGGCTTTGAAAAAAGCAAACTCCTCAGAGCATAAAACGTCAGAATAGGTTCCGAATATTTTTCAAACATGTTTTTTCGGAACCTATTCTGACGTTTTATGCTCTGAGGAGTGTCAGACGAAAAAGCTTTAAGTATGTTGTAAAATGTTTGCTTTTTTCAAAGCCGTGTTCTATTTTGTTTAATGATATGATGTATTTTCTAACTAGTGTCATCTTGGTGTTTTATTGTCCTTCTATAGTTATTGATATCTTCTCTAAACCAGATTGTTTATAAAAATTCAGTAGAAATAAGCAAGTATTTTCTAAAAGGGGCGTTTTCCGGCCTTAAAGAGGGCGTGGCCTCAAAAAATTTCGGACACACCCATTTCAGCCCCTCCACTTTTTGGCTGGTGCGCGGTCCCTGATCTGAACATAGGCCCTTCTTTGAGCATGAGCACGGATCAAAAAGCTTTTAAATAGACCTGGACCAAAGGCTGCCGATTTGTATAAATAGATTTAATACAGATGATGAAAAGGACAATGAGATCTTAATCAAATGACAT